ACCTATTGTAAATAATCCAGCCCATACACAAAACCTGAATCATAAGCAAATATAGGCACTATATTTTGTTTTGTTTGTTTATTGTTAATCTCAAAGTTACACAAATGGACTATCTGTGCTGTGCCCACCGCAGGTTTTGAAACTCGATTTTTTAGCGTTATAAGCCCGCAGACTTACCGGTGAGCCATAGAGGGTTACCTTTCGTTTTTATCTGTTTCCTCGTACATGGGGAAATACAGACATCACGTTGTTCATCACTCTAGATATGGAATAATTCCTTTCTGTAGTAGTTTTTTAAACAAGTTATTAATATCCTAGTAAGTTTTCCAATTGAATTACATAAGTTCAAAGTATCTTCTGAAAAAAAATAACGATAGTATTATACAGTTTCAAATAGAAACATCGAGAATGCCAAAAATACCTAAATAGAAGAATTGAATGCTAAAAGATTTCCATAAAAGTACTAGAGTAAATCCTCTTTTAAAACACTTTGTTGAGCAGGAAAAATATAAATGAGCAAAATTATTAGATACATTACACAAAATACAAGTGGTTTAAAGAAATGGAGAAATAGTGAACAAAATTAATATTTGGAATTTATTGGATAAAAAGTTAAGACTTAAATAGTAAGGTAGTTTTGAAATGGACAGGAATGAATGATAGAGATGAGTGTCTAACCCCAAAATTATGAAGAGACTAAATAATAGTTAAAATGATTTTTCGTAACAACAAGTTGAAAAGAGGAGAGAACAAACGATTCGAATAAAATTACCACGAGCCAACATTTGTTTATAAGGGCTAACAAGTCTATCCCTGAAATATTTCTGTAACGTTAGACCAACTAAACCCAATTTAGATCAGGACTCAGTATGTTTTTATATATCAACATTGCTTTGGTTGAATAAGTTGGGTCTTCTAAGTTACGTTTTAAGTGAAACATTTGGAATTGAAAAAAGAGGAGAGAGTAGGTTTTATGAAGCCGAGTAATCTGAGAAAACTTTCATAACGTTATATAACTTTCGAGCATACTTACTTCTCTCCACTAATGTCAGGAGTTGACTCTACAATGCTGTCATCTAGCGACTGAGACAGCGAAGTAGGCTTGTTTCTGGGAAGGGTCATGATGAGAAGAGGTCCCATGGGGTAGTCTGATTTCAGTTGAAGGGGTGCTGGAGTATAGAAATCTGGATTGCCAATAGTAGATATAGTGTTGTGGTCTTTTCTGCTCTTATTGTTTGTCTCAACCTTCCGCCAGCGGATGTACCACAAGTACAAAGCTAGCGTGGGCACAGCGAGAATCAGAGAAAAAACGCCTCCAAGAAACATCCCTAAACCTGTTTGCCAGAAAATAACCCCCAAGACGACCAAGATACCCCCTGTGACAAACAGAAAAATAAAAAGTCCTAACCAAATCTTTAATATCACAGCTCTAGAGAGTTTTTCTTTAGGAACCTGGTAGACAGGGTGTGATCTTGGGGATTGGGTTGTTCGTGGTGAATGGACCTTCATGGCTACTAGTGGGAAATCTTGATATCGCCAATACGCAAAGAAGCTTGACAGTTGAGTTCCAACCCTTTTCACTATCACATCGTATCTCGCTCCTTCTTTATAATTATGTTGTTAATATTTATCCTGTATATTCAAATATTTCTGAAAAACAAACATACAAAAAAGTGGCAATTAGTATTTGCCTGACACAAGTATATATCTATTTCATTGGTGATTAGAAACTGACTGTCTCATTTTGATACATTTTGACTCTGTAAGTCTTCTTTAATCAACTTATTGGCGGAATCGCAACCATTTGCAAAAACTAAAAACTGGGCGATTGGTCCATATTAGGAAATTCGTATAGTAATAGTGACATTTGTATCTATACTTACGTATAAAATATGCATCAGTAAAGCAAGAAATGAACGATCCTGTGTTAATATTACGTTTTAATTTTTTTACCAGCTTTAGTTGTCCATTAATAATTAAACTACATAGGCATATTAGTTTACCATGGATAGTATAGACTTGTTCCAATTAAATCCTTATCATAACCTGACAACACAAGAACAAATTCGTTTATCACACAGAAAATTAATGTGTCCTGATCTGCTATCTCAACACAAAAAACATAATTTGGTTATTACACGGGTCTTGACTATATCCTTAACTCTTTCACGTTTATAGATAGATAACTCTCCGAGTGCCAGGTTTATTTTTAGACATAAAAAAGGCATATACTTTAATATTTCATTACTTATCTACAATGTGAAAATTGTAAACTTTCAAAATATCACAATTTTCAAGACTAAAATGATGTTTGTGTGTGTCCCATATATATGTGTGCATGGCAGTGCTCTAGACTCTAGAGGGAGACATATACATGATCATGACAGTGCTCTAGACTCTAGAGGGAGACATATACGTGTCCATGGCAGTGCTGTAGACTCTAAAGGGAGACATATATGTGTGTGCATGGCAGTACTTCAGACTCTAGAGAGAGACATATATGTGTCCATGTCAGTGCTCCAGACTCTAGAGGGAGACATATATGTGTCCATGTCAGTGCTCTAGACTCTGGAGGGAGACATATATGTGTCCATGTCAGTGCTCTAGACTCTAGAGGGAGACGTATATTCTCCCTCTATAGCACTACCATGGACACACATATGTTTCTCCCTCTATAGCACTACCATGTACATATATGGCCCACTCTAGAGGGAGATATATATGTGTCCATGTCAGTGCTCTAGACTCTAGAGGGAGACATGTACGTGTCCATGGCAGTGCTGTAGACTCTAGAGGGAGACATATAT